TTTGTTAAGTCTACCCTGCTCGTAAAAGTTTATGTTTGTGTATTTAAACAGACTAAGCGGCTTGCAAAGCATTGATAAGTACTTCAGCGATCGACCATACCGTTAAATATGTCGCCTTGTAATACCCTGGAGCAGACGACATTCTGCCCATATAATACAAGAATATGTTTTCGGTTTTATTTATGTTATCTTTGGGCGGACTGACACGATCAGATGTAATCAATTGTATGAAGCATTAATGCCAAAGTTGCTTGTCTATGGTTAATGAGAGGCAATTATCCAATAGAAATTACCACGTCAGCAACTGACAGATGTCACGTGTGACTTTGAGATATCATCAAAAATATTGAGTTTGTGTATTGTTTCTGAGACTCCAGCTGGCACATTCTTTGATGCCTTGTGCTAGACCATGCGTATTACAATGGACTATATATACTGTATTGGAACGAGCACTACGACTTCGTAAAGAACAGGGCATGTTCTATAAAAGAGAGTCAGGGAGGAGAAATGATGTTGGCTGCTAATGTTTAAGCTGAAAAGGATTTCATTTATCATAAAAGCAAACTAACTGGAAACATAATATGTAGATCAGTAAACAATATTTCATCACGGTTGGGGTGATAAACCTGAGCCATGACATGTAAGCCGGCGTTCGGGATAGTGTCAAAGTGATAGAATGTTGCTACGATCTCTACGTTTCACTTTAGTGCTTTAATCTGCTTGGCAGTAAGACTGTTTGAGCATTATGATAACCCTGCTGAGAGTGTTAATATATCTAAGCCCTGTACGATGGCCATCTAATGTGTACAAATCAGTGCCTTTGAAGAGAATAAAGCACCCACTGGAGTAACTAAGGCATTTGTGAGGTGGAAGCTATCGGAGTTGGAATTACCTGGTATATATAGCCTTGTACCATGGAAAACAGCCTTTTATTGCTTTGTTCTGGAGATGTCAGTTCTTCACCAACTACATTGATTCTTTCGAAGTCTGGATTGTAGACTCCGTTGGCTCGTGCAGTACAACATCAAAGAATGGACTGCGCCTTTTTTTGTGTCACTATTGTACTATAAGCACTTTTCTAAAGCTTGTTACATAAATTATTCATTCAAAAATAGAGTCCTTGCAAAAGAAGTGTTTGCTTTCTCTACACAAAGTTTTGCTTGCTCTCAGGGAAAACGACTGATTTGATACAACTTCATAATACCTAGCGATTCAACTTGTACCGAGGAAATTTATTCAAAAAGGCTGAGTGTTTAAATGTTTGCTTATTCAATATCGCTTGCAATCGGCTTAACTTAAAAATAAATTAAATAAGGCTTGAAAATTTTGCAATGGGTTCAGACATGAAATCCTGGAAAATTTGGACGGTTGTATAAACCACGTTATGGGTGGTTAAACTAGCGAAATCTGACATCCACAACTCGTCAAGTTGTGAATAAATAATGTAAAACTATGCGTTAGTTCGTTTTGAACATGTGAATACTCGTGGTGATCAATGAATACAAGCATTTTATCTGGCACATATATTTTGTCATACAATAACCTAAGTACAATATTGTGCATACTTACACAAGCTGGTATAACTTAGGAAATCAAACCTTAACAAAACTATCAGTTGATATATAGTCAAACTTTAACCAATATTTTGTCATCCTATAAGATATATAATAATATAAGATACACATATCTCTGATAATTCTTTTGCGGATAACCTGCTGCGCCATGTCTATCAAAATTAGGGAAGGTTTACCTCTTTTTTAAAGGATAAAGTAAAAAGGGAGCAACAAAAAAATTTAGGTGCACCTTGTGGTATTATATGCCTGATGCCTTCTAAATCTCTCTTTTTTCGATTTTAGATAATTTAAGGTTGCAAAGTATTACATATTAGTACTAGAGAAGACAGTTTCTCTACATCCAGGATATAACCAGTTATACACCATTATTACGTTCTTCCGCGACAATCGTATATTAGTCGAAGTTCTCTATCTGTATTGAAGGGTTTCAGTTTTATTATGAGGAGACGCATGCAAAGAGCCTTATGTTTATTTTAGAGACAAAAGTAGAAGGCAAAACACGTAAAGATATGTATTTAGATAATGTATAGTCGGACCCGGCCACGGGCATGGCATGTAAGTTTGGCGCTTGCAATGCAGTAATTATTAGCTATCTAGCACTGATTGCGACTTCGATGTTATGACTCACTGTCCCCTTCAGCTAGGCTCTGCAGGGCTCCGCAGGGGTCACGAAAATCTGCAGCTTTTACCTTATGTGAAGGTCAAATTAAGGCGTACGCCCCCCAATAACTGGATGAATTTATGCATCTCTGCGTCATTTGACCTTTCTGAGTGAACATTCTACGAATCCATTAGCCAAAACTGTCACCCAAGTTTTTGTATAAACCACATAAGCAGAAATGGTTCTGTGGGCAGTACTCCTGATAATACAGAGTTGAAAATAGATGTTTGCTACAATCAATGTGAGACATAATTAAACTTCCCCGTTAAAGTGTGACCGATCATAATCATGCCTTATTGGAAACAAAGATTGTCCTGTCAGGCCTTAGAGCCAAGCATGTCTTTGTCCTTTCTGATATTTGTAAAAGCAGCGGCTCGTGACAGCACGTTCAGTGGCACAGCTTTAGGGCTGTGCTTACCCTCCGAAGCTGTGTTTTCATTCAACGCATGCCTCTCTTCCCCGCACGTTCGACGAACGATCTATGACGTCAATCGTACGATTTTCGCCATAGACACCGCTGAAGGGATGTTAACTACAGACGTCACAAGCTTTCTCAAAGGCAAGTCAGGACCAAAGTGTCCTGAACGTTTAACGGCCTTGGATGAAAAATGGGATCCAGCGGTAAACAGAAGTTCGCGGAAGCAATACAGTAACACTTCGTTCTAGAATAGTTTATATTGACAAGATGTATTGTCCAGAGATGCTTGCTTGAATGAATTAAAGCGAGTTTTCCATTAAATATGGACTTCTTATTGCTGAGAATGTAACTCAAGGGTAAAGTACACACAATGGTGCCACACTCAAGAGAAGAGGCTTCATGTTAACCTATTCAACAAATGGTCCTGTCCACAACGGATTTCAGCCTTAAGCATGAAGAGTAAACCAAATTTTGAACATTAGCGATTGGAGCAAATTCTCTTATATTCAAGAAGTTCTATGGAGATCTGTATTACTTATAAAGCTAGAATCCTAAATTCCGCTATGAAGAAACTATATTCAAACTTTAGCCTCATTTTAAATGAATGGTACAGAAAGACATACCTATTTCGATATCTTTACACAGTCATTACGAAACACAGTACATTCTAACATTAATTTTTATAATCGCAGTTCTCGTTATTACAATGCAACTAACTAGCTCCGAATATTGTTAAATTTATATTATTAGTTATAAACTACTTTAGGGATGATACAAACGACCAGTGCAAACATTATTTACGAAGAAAATAAGGTTGTCTTGTCACTAAGCTGTTTTCTGACTGATGTTATATCCAGTTACCAACTTTTGACTAAAAGCCAACATATTTTCATGCATCTCGTAGGTTCTAAAAGTAAAGTATAGGATGACCGCTACTTGAAGCCTGGAAGCCATTTGAATGTTTAACTAGATTTCCTAAAAACGTAATTTACTAATGCAATTTGCTAGGGTCGATTCTCTCGTGACGATTCGGATGGGTGCATCAACGGTCGCTGGCTCGAACTTCAAGCCAGGATTCAGTAAAGTCTGCACAAGCTGTGTAAAAAGAAAAAGATATTAGTAACTCAAACAATCGAAGAAAATAGTGGTGTGTCAGCTGATGACCGAATCCGGTAAAGAATTCTAACTTAATCCACTAAAGATTTAAACTCGACAGTTTACGGTTTCTCCCAGTTTTACATAAAATTTCGGTTCTAGAAAATAAAAAAATTCAGTTTTTTATAGAACTGAAGTTTTTTTTCATCTCACGACAATTTAATATATATTTATATCTTACGTGTCGATGAACTCTACGTAGATTTTCAGAAGTTTGTATATCATTTATTTTTTATACCATCTTTATATATATATATATATACTATTTTTGGTATACCGAAAATTTGTATATATAACACAACTTAGGGAAGACGCCTGGCCACAACAGAATTACAAGGTTCATCAAAAGCACCCCTATCAAGCCTGATTATAGGCCTTCCGTCCAAATGACGTAATCGAGTGTGAATCTTGTTCTCAAAGGCTCGGAATACTATCCATAAAGTCGAAATTCTTGCATAAAAATATTATCAATTAGCAATCCACATTGCAGAAATCTGCGTTTTGTTTCTACTCTTTTAGCTTTTTACGTCAGTTTTCAAAATAAGTTGAATGACATAGGAAACTGCATTTCAGGAATTAGGGTCAACAGTTAAGCTTAACTATATATATATATATATATATATATAGGTAAGCTAATAAGTTAATTAAATATAAGATTTATGCACATGTGATAGTTTTTAACAGCTTTCATATAATAATAATAATAGTAAACAATATAATAAGTATAACAGTAAAACCGCGAGAATATACGATAATAAATTAAAACAGATCAACTGTCGAAAAAACAACGATTAAAATACTTGAAGTTGTTTGTAACAAACTCATCGAGTTAGTGTCGCAGCTATGGAATGTTCACCATTACGCCTATGATAAACTAACCAATGTTTGCCACTAAAAATTCGCTAGGCATCTTTGAATTGTGCGCTCGATGTTACGCCGGTGATCTTAGCGCTGAATAAATATATTATAACCCATATGCGATTGATGAAGCACGGTCTATAAGATCACGAATCGAAGGGAAGGATTTTCTGAACTATCTAGGAGCACTTGCGGTTGGAAAGTCTCTCCCCTTCAAGTTAAAATGTTAAGATGTTGCCCAGAGTGTTCCTAGAGGATGGTGGACTTGGCTTCCGAGCGCAGCTTTCTCACACGTTCCCCGCCCACGATTAAGGCAACATCGAAATAGTTGGCCCACAGCATCAGGTGGTCAGCAAAAGCAACAGAGAGAAGCGGTGCTGAGGTCAGCATAAAGATGTGTCACTGTGCAATTAGCATATTTAATTGCGGCAATATGAACTGCAAGTCATTCATTTGGTAACGGTGCAAGCTGCAGCGATTCTCGTGTTTTCAATCAGCAGGTCGCCACATAATAGCGCCGGACTTAACGGCATGAGAACTGCGTTGTAACACTGCTTATCTGGAACAGAATGGCGACGATGACGGACTCAAGGAGAGCAGCGCATGTCTCAGTGACTAGTTTGAAAAAGAAGGTTTGTGCTTTTATGACTACGAGAGCTGCTTCGACGAAGACGCGGTCTCTCGATATTGAGACTTCTTTATCGGCATCGATCAATTTAATACTTAGTTTGAGGGGTGCCCAGCGACAAAGTCACACCCAGCAGAAAGCCAAGGACCCGCAGAAAGCATCGTTATTGGTGTACATGACTTTCAAAAACCTACTAGGTGACGCTGTAAGCGGTCGCAAGGCCAGTTACAGCCAAAACGGATTAAGTCGGAATAGTGCAAAGACCGGTGCTATTGTACAGAATGGTTATGCGGGCAGCGGTGGCTAGGCTAAGAATGCTGGTGAGTGTGCATTTGTAAACGTGCATCGTCGAGATGCACGCCTGCTCCTTCTGCCGAAGAACGAAGGCGAACGGTTAGCCAAAAAAGTTGTATCTGCGTTGCTTGCGAGAGGGTCACTATTCTAAAAATGTGCAGAAAGCGTAACGTGCGAAAACTGCTAGGATTTATAAGATACTATGTACGCATGCGGTAAGCACTACAACTGTCCTGGTGGGTGGTCGTGATAGGGGATTGCTGCCTACTGGCTCGTTGAGGTCCGACGTGGTACTCGCATATGAAGTGTAACTACATTTCTACTCGATAATGGCTCACAGAAAAATTTTATTTCTGCCCTTCTCACTAACACTTCAGCTGCACTTTTTTGGTTTCGAATCGCTTTGTCCGCGTGTGTTTGGACACGAGTCGTCAAAGCAGCGCCGATTAACCGCGATTGGGTCTAAGGTAAGGGCATGAGATCATAGTACTGACATCAGTGATTTACACGATAGCCACGAGCTTTCCCCCTACGCCATCGAGTGAGCTACGTACTAGCTAGCTTCATTCGATTTGGCCGCGCGAGTTGATGGAGGCCAAACTGTTATTGAACGCAGCGGATTCGCTTCGTGTGTTGGACGGTTGCCGAAGCGAATTGGCGGATAGCACGCTGACGGTAGGTTCGCGCTTTGGCTGCATAGGTCGGTGCTGCTGAACGAACTAGACATGGTGGCTTAGTGATCACAGTGACAGCCTCTGACTCGGAGCCGTTCTTTGTTGTAGAGTCAGTGGGCGTACAACCTCGATCAAGCAGTTGATGATTTCATTGCTGTGACTGACCGGGTTAAGGTCAGCATCGTGCTGTTGGATCACGGACGCTATCAAGTGCAACTCAACTTGAAATAATCCGTAACATCCTTGAAGCTTAATATCGCAATAGCATCTTGACAGCTGAAAGCAAGGCGTATGGCAGGCGATGGGGGGCTGAAGCACGAATATTTAAAAGAAATAACAAAAGGCTTTGCGGAGAAAGTACTGCTGAATGAAATCCTGAAAGATTTTGTGCCATATTAGTCATCAGTCATAGTCATTAGCCACGTAAAGTGTCGGATTGTGTAAAACCCGTGTTTAATGCATCTTTTGCAGCTAAAGGAAGATATCGCTAAATGACTGCATTCCATAAGCTTGCTTTCTTGTCTGTTATTTCTTTCTGTGTTGTTCCTTGTCTGTTCTCTCTGACCAAATTTCAGAGGTACGATGTTGTGTAGGCCGGGAATATTAGCAAAGCGCACCTGGGGATTCAAGTGCATCCATAGCAGCAAAATTATATGTGCTTTCTATGGTTTGTTGATAAAAAGGAATTTATTGACGTAGAAGATAGCCTAACAAATGACGTCCATTTCGTTCTGCGTGATGGATAGTCATCACAGTTATTTGGGAGCATGCTAAAATATATAAAGGTAGTTACCCCAAAAGCCGGCCCTAAGATCCGTATAGATTTATACATAGATGATCTTCTGATAGAGCCAATACAGCAACGGATGCTGTCCGGTTAATGACAAGAGGTGGAGGCGATTCTACAAGAATCTGCGATATCGATAAGGAAGTTTCTAAATATTTGTTCTAAACTCTGCCGGCTAATGGGAATATTCTCAGAAAGAACCGACGTACTAGTCCGAACGCAGGAATGGTGGTCAGAATGGCAAACCAAAACGAGATGTCTTAATTGTTCACCCGCATAACATGTAATGGATCGTTGTTAGTGCATCTTCGACGATGTGGAAACTTATGGGTGTATGCGCAACGCTCTACGACGCACATACGTTCGTGATGGTCTTGAAGTAAGTACTTTAGAGGACAAATTTCATTTTAATTATGTTGGACACGACGTTGGCACCAGAACTGCCTAAGCGTTAACCAGAGGAGTTCAAGGCACTGAGGTGCCGGAACCTTTGGTTGGCGAGCAGGCAAAGCAAGTCAGGCGCCTTTTGTGTTGTAAGCAGTAAAGCTTACGTTTCTGCCGTTTGTTTTGAGTTTGTAGGTGTCGACGGTCAGCTAGAGTGTTGCTGGTGGCGGCCAAGGCTGATTTGTCATCACTGAAGTAACTCAAGAGATTGACAATTCCCAAAAAGGATCTGGTAGCAGTTACGCTCGTGGTATATTTATTATGAAAGATAAGAATTTGTTTGGAGCTTGGGGCTATACCGGTCATCTTGGGCCAACCTGAGAGATCGGTGCGCAAAATACTGGAGCATTCGATACCGGCGCATGGTTTCAGTCCCCCAGTGAAACGAATTTGACTTACCATCACCAGGTGTTATAATTAGCAAGCTCAACGATACGCGCTTACAGTAGAAAAGCCCCGAACTTTTATCACAGTCATATGACGCTTATACAACGTTCAAGGATGGTACCGTAACGTTCAACTCGTTACCCAAAGCGAAACTGCTTGTGACGTGCGGAAAAGGCCCACCCGAACTAACTTCTCGTCGCTGAGCATTTGGTTCGCGTTGCTGTTTAAACCCAGTGGATGGTAGTGCAGTTCAAACAAAAGTCCTCTAACAAGAGTCGACGATAAGAGCACTGACAGCAGGTAGATTAGTTTAGCAAAAGAGTGGCTGCTTGTAGAGGTGCAAACACGTTGCTTAGGGGTAGTGGCCGCGAGTCCCAAATGTGGCCATGGGTCGATGAGACCGGGGGTAGCTGCTTTCGATCCCTTTGTTAACTCGGTTCGAGTTGGGGGTAGATTACAGTTTGCTGATGAAGCGCCCTGAGATATAGCACTTTATATTGCTGTGGGATAAAACACTCACTAAGCTACACATTGCTGAACCGCCGCCGGCGTATGAAGATGGACGCGGTACTTAACAAGTTGGGATATAGACGTTGAATCGTATAAGTGCAAACGTTAGTCAAGTTGTTGATCCACAGCTGCATAAGTTCTTGAGCTCAATGACAAATATTAAGGCCGGGAAGCTCTGTTTCCAGTAAAGCGCACGCAGATGCCGTTCCAGTCGTTTCAAATATCGGAAATCGACTATTTCGGGCCGTTGGAGGTACCTATCATGGATAGAGTCAAAATGGTCAAGATGGCTCTGTTTAGGTGTTCCGCAGTGTTGGCTATACCTCTCGAAGTAATCGAAGACTTGATGGTGAATTCATATATAGCGGCCATCGCAGATCTTCGTCGTTGTACGAAGTTACAGCTAAATTTGTTTCGGACACCGCATTTCTTTTCAACAAAACCTTAAGATGTCTGGTGGACCTTTGGAAGGCGTTCCGAAGTGAAAAGGTCCACATTTCGGACAACTAAAAGTCATTTAATATATTAATGCCCACGAAGCGCGTGGTAGGGGATTTCGCGAGCTCATTGGTACGGCGAACACGTGCCTGCGGGAGATGCGTAGACTCTCGCTTATGGCTCTGACTACTTCGCTTCATGAGGTCGCTGTTACTATAAATCAGCGGCCTCTCATCCTATTACCAGATAAAGCAAACAACCCAAAGACCTTGTAACCATCCATGTTCCTTGCTCGACGAGTCCGTAACGCTGCCATCTGGTCACTCTATCAATGGTGGTGGAGGTCAGGATAGCCTTGTTCAGTTATGGCGCCAAGCTATACTAGGTAGGTTTAAGAAACAATGAAAGGAAAAATTCTTGTTAGTGCTTTACACGGCTCACGAGCGCCAGTTAGGGAACCAAGTGTCGCTAGCTACTAGAGACACCGTGCTGATTCAGCAAGACGGATCTCCAAGAGCTTTCAAGCAATTGGAAAAGATTTAACAAATGGTATTAAACCAAGGCCGTGTTGTGCGTATATTTAGGGTGCTTATCGATAACGGGCCTAAAGTGACGAAATCTAATATTGCTAGATTGCTGTGGCCGCGTTTTGGTAGAATTACACGGGAACAAAACTGACTGCGATTGTTATGATCCCTACACCGATAATGTGCTACCAACTACCAAAATCATAGCGTGGAATAATAGCGTCATATGCGCTACTACCAGTGCGCTTTATAAAGTTTTGGCACACTTACGGGCAAGAGAGGGCCTCTAGAGGTATTCCAAACAATTGTTAGTCAATTCTTTGTAATACCCCTACAGGGCGATGAAGTTGACTTTCAACTGTAGCGTTGTCAGTCGTTCCCTGTTTCAAGGCAGCATTGAACTGGTTACCCCACAGCGACAGGCGGTCGGTAAAAGCAACAAACAGAAGCGGTGCTTATGCAATTAACAAGTTCAATTGTGGAAAATGAAACTGTAGATTACTTGCATCACGACGGTGTAAATTGCCAACAATTTCCATGTTTTTAATTAGAGTTCGCAACGGCAGTTGAGCAGCATCGGGTTTATTATATCGTGGCTCATTTTTCACTAATCGCCGATTTGCTCAACGCGTGTGACCTACGTTTATATTCAATACAGTGTTCAATTCGTTATCTAATCTATGTACTGCTAACGCCGCAACAGGAATAGTTGTATTATTATTACCTGAAAAAGTCCCCGCGCTCTTTTTAGTGAATAGAAAACACCACATTTCTTATTTTTGTGACAGTAAGTGATCATCATGTTTTGTATCTTCTATCCGCTGTTCACGCCGTTCGTCTGTCTTCATACCTGACTGATATAACGCTTCAAGATTTTTCTTCTTTAAAGTCTTCCGACTCCGTGTTGGGTTTTTGATCCGTGTCGAAGGTGAAGCCACGAAGG